GAAGGTTTCCCTCCCAGTGCCTTCCAATGGAGCATGGTCCTGCTGATGACTTGGTTTTGGACTTCTGGTTTCCAGAACTTCTGAGACAGTAAATTTCTGTTGCCAGCCAGTGTGTGGTAATTTGCTATGGCAGTCCTAGAAGACTCACATAGCTCAGTACAGATCATTACTGTATCAACTCTTGCATTTTTTTGGTCAGGGTCTGTCTGGCCTAGCACCACACACATTTTGGAAAATAGCAGAAGGTGTGGAAGACATAATATATCATTTATTATCCTCCTCTTGTTGGTAGAGAAAACCACTGTCTACTTTTGTAAGAATTAACATTGCTAAGATAGATGCTCATATCACCAACTAGAAATTTAAGTTTCTTGGAGATTCCGCAACCTATTTGTGGAACGGGAAGATTAAGACACAAAATTTTCTAAAGAAGCCAACAAGTATGTCCATGCCTTTTCTCCATTTTCAGAAAAAGCCTGAACAGGGAAATTTCTGAGTTCTATCATCTAAATAATTTACATAGAATGAAAGTTATTTTCTTCTGCATTACATTATGTAGATAAGCTTTGTCAGTAATGATAATGAGTAGAAGGGTACTTCTGTTTCATTCCTAAGGATGCAAGATGAAATATAAACAAATCCACATGCTCCTCAGAAAATGAGAAACCTGGTCTGCATATCACTTTCAGGGAGAGAAGTGGAAACAATGTTTTCCCCTTTTGGTTGCATTTCTTATTTCCCCAGCATCTCTTTTACGGTACCCTAGGAAGGGCAGAATGCTGGGCCAATTGCATGATCAAAACTAGACAGCACAGACAGAAACACACCAAAACATTAAGAGTGCATGTGCGTTTTCCTTATATTTTTATTCTTCAAATTTCCTAATGCTCCTCTGGTGAGGTTGAATAGTGTCCTCCCAAAATCCATGTCCACCTGGAACTCTAGAAAGTGACCATTTTGGAAGTAGGTTCTAAAACATATACTGCGCTTATCATTAAGCGAAAATCTTGGATTTTTTTCACTTGGTCAACTATTCTAATTCCTTTTCTTTGATATATAAATTATAAAGAATTTATTCAATGTGAAATAGGAAGAAAAGGGCTGAAGGTGTAGGGAAAGTGTGAAGGGTAGGGGAAAGGTAATAAAGGAAAATAAAAAAATATGAGAAAATGAAAAAATGGAAATAAAGTGTTTGTAAATGGGGTGAAGGGAGGGCAGGGAGGGACAAGGGGAAAAAATAAGAACCAAGACCTGTCATGTAAAGGTACAAGATCCCGATGATGAATGTAACTGTACTGTATACCTAAAATGTACCAATAAACTCAAAAAAAGAAAAAAACGAATTTATTCAGACCAAAGTGGGTGACTTTAGTATATATTTCCTTTTTTGAATTTTGGATATTAATGTATTAACTGCCCCCATCTTACATTCTCAAAATTGTCATTTCTCCCCTATGTGAGCCTGATAATCAGCAAAGTACATGCTTTCTTCCTTCCCTTATATGTATTTTCTTTTTTGCCCCTCTATCTTTTGCTTTAGAAGGCCCTACAATATGGTTTTTAAAAATCTTACTCATTCTTTTTCCAAAGCCGATATCAAATTTTATTCTTTTATTCAATATGATTGTTCCAGTTATAAATTCTTTCCCCTTAGGATTCGCAAAACCTATTGGCTCCACTCCTGGGAGCACGGCACATGCTCTCTGCATTGGTGTCTTCGCAGGTATCTGCCATCTTTGATGGGAGCGCCCTTCCAGGATGTCCACTGTGGCTTATGTAACTGCTCTCCACAGTGCCTCACACACAGGAAATTCTTACAAGTTTGCTAAATGAGTATTTTGACTATCAGCTGGACCTACCGGGCATCACACCCAGGAATGTCAAAGTTAGGTCATCCCCATTACGATCTGCTGATTAATTTTAGATGAATATAAACCTTACAGAAAAGAGGTTAGAGAGATCCTAAATGCAGGTTGGTCCCTGATAGAAGGGTGCTGCCAGTGAAACGCTACAATTATGATGAGAATCCTCAGACTCACCCCTATATGACTTTTCTTCACCATCACCCTGGTATCTCTACTCTCTTTGTTTTGCTGTAACTGGATTTATCTTCGGAAACAGTAAAACTTACAAACCAGTAAGACAACCTACGACTAAATTCCACAAGGAAAAAGAAACATGTGTGTTGTTTCCCAAAGGATTACAGAGAGATTCTACCAGCACTCCTGGCTGGAAAACAGTACAAATTGAATAAGGAATGGAATTGTGAAAGTAGCAAAAGATAGATCAGGTATGTTGTCACATGCAAATAAGGGGGAGATAGTCAAATATATATAAAGGTATATAAATATATACCTGGAGTGATATATATATGAAACAGGTAAAGTGGACTCAAGGGAGGGGAGCAGGGGACCTAGGGGGTTCTATGAGTAAGAGAATTATTTTGGCATGCTTTTCTCTACCATTTTGAGTGTTCACAACACAATGCTTAACAATGTTTTCAATTTAAACTTGGGAAGTAATGGAAGCTACTAACTCTACAGGAAACTTATTAGGCAAAGTTATGGACATAAGAATTATTCAGGGGGCTGGGGTGTCAGTGATAGAGGAGCTGCTTACCCTGCACAAGGCCTGAGCTCATTCTGTGCATTTAAAAAAAGTCATTGTGAAATGGTTCTTCTGTATTATTTGTATCTTTCTGCTTCTAGCCTCCTGCCCCAATCTCCAATGCAATACCTAAGAGTGTATATAATTTTAATTATACTGAAGCCACTAAGATTCATACACTCAGCCAGTGACTTTCATCAATATAATACAGTACTACAGGAGGTAGAGATCACTAAAAATCTATCAGTCACAGCAGGCATTACCAACATACAGCATTTACTACTTATGATGCACTCTTCCACAGTCTCTACAGAGTACCATTCATTCAATTCTCACACCTGCCTTGCAGCCAAGGTACTACTACTTATAGATGAAGAAAGGCATAGAGAACTTGAATAATTTGCTCAGGCGAACAGCAAGGCTGAGGCGGGTGACCCGGGCATCACTGTAGCCCACGCAATACAGGGCTGCCTCCATGCCACCTACAACAGAACTGAGACAGACGCTAACATGGCATTAAAGTTGTCATTACTGTTGCTCTCACCATGGTTTAAGCTACAAAATTGAGTCTTAAGATGAGTTTCTTGGGTGTAGTTTACTTCCCCCAAATACCCATGTGGCAACGTCTACACAGATTCTAACACTACTACAACTCTACTTGTTCATTTCATCTACCCAGCCAGAGTTCAGGTACTTGAACATCTTAGGATTCTTATATGCCTAACAGAGTTTCTCAATGTTTCCCCGCCCCTAAATATTCTGAAGACCAATTAATATCTAAGTGGTGAAAAAATTTCAGTGAAAAAGTAGCCAGGCATGGTGGTGTAGCCCTATAATCCCAGTACAGGCAGGAGGACTGAAGATTTGAGGTCAGCCTGGGCAACTGATGGGTGTAGCGAGACTCAGTTTCAAAATAAAAATAAAAAGGCCTGGGTATGTCACTAAGTCCAAAGTGCAATGGCTCTGGGTTCAATCTCCAGTTCTGAGGGACTGGGGAGTGAGGGAGCAGAAGTTAAAGCACCAATACAACTGAAATGCATATGAAAAAACTAGCATGTTTAAAGAAGCCAGAGAAAAGGATATCAAAGGTACATAATGCCCTTAAGTAAAAAACAAACATCCCTGTCAGTTTGGAAAGGCATATGAAAGTGCTTGAAAAGATAAGAATGTTAAAAATAAAATCTGTCTACTAGGTCATGTACAAACATGTGACACAATAAACTCGTCTCCTGTAGTTACTAGGTCTTGTCGAGAACAAAGTTATATAAACATTTAGTTGGTTCATTATACAACTAAGCAAAGAGATAAGGTGCAATCTAATCAGCCTGAGCCTTTGGTTCCTTTAGTTTCCTAAAAACTATGCCTCACCCCTGGGTTGCCTGCTCCCACCATGAGATATCAGTACAAAAGGTCTTAACAAAACTTACCTCAGATCCAAGTTTTAAGAGATACAGGCTTTAAAAGAATGTTAAGCTTTGCTTCTTTTTTAGAGGAAGAACCTTACAGATGTTCAGGAGCCAATTTAAAAGGGCTGTTACAAATAAATGGATGAAATGGGTAGGTAGTTCTTTTTTAAATATAAAATGTATGTCAATAAAGTTGTACTTTAAAAAAGTAAATAAATGGAGAATTTCTGACGCTTCCCCCTTCACTGTTAATCCCCTATGATAAATATTGAGGGCAGGGTTACAAACTCCGGTGCTAAAGAATCAGAGGAGGGAAGCCCTGCCTGCTATCTAAGCAGAGCGCCACTGGCTTGCTCCCGTCACTGCCACACACGAGGGTGGACCGAGAAATTTCAGGTCTTCTGATTTTCCAAAAGAAATGGAAATATATTTTGTGAATTAAAACCTTATGCCAAAGAAAGTACCCTGTAGATCAAATCTACCTCAAGGCCACCTTTCTGCAAACAGTGGAGGGTGACTCTGGATACACTCAGTGTTCTTTGTGTGTAAGATACACTTTGCAACATGAAGTTTAAAAATGTACACTAAAAATACATTTTGAAAACAAGGATGTTAGTAAGGAAACCTTGCTGGGCCAAGAAAAGCTTTTGTAATGAATATTCTTTAGCTTTGTTTGTGAGTCAAACACCATGCAATTTTACAACTGTTTCAAAGACAGTGATACAGCAACTTGGATCTGAAGCAAAGCTCTGGAACCCAAATGCCCCTGGTTCCGAAACAAACGCCAGCCAGGGCCAAGGAAGATGCACTGCCCCACCCAGCCCTCCGGAGACAGGCCACCACCAAAACTGGCTTTCAAAGTCAGTGACTGAGCAAGGTTGTTCTTATAATAAAATAATTATTTTAATGAAGTATTTGAAATAATTTTAAACATCTGATCAATAAGATTATACACAAATGTGGAAGAATGCTGCACTTTACAAAAAAATAAAGCTAAGCATTGAAATATACAAAACAACTTTGGGTATAGATCTCTTAAAGTATTCTTGTAACATATACATAATTTATAGCACTTTATATAATAACTTGCTGAAACAAACAATGTGGCCAATTTAAATCTTACTATAACATACGGCCGTAACAGTCCCCGTGGAAGAACGACATGAGGAGTGACATACTTGAGGTGTTTTGTTCCCCTGAATTCCTTTCCTAAGCAGCACAGCATCTCCTATTTTAAAAACCTTGGAGGATTCAAACGTTCTTTTTGTATGTGACTGTAACAACCACTATTATTTTCTGTCCGTTATAATTCACACAGAATTTTTTAAAAAAGAAAAAACAGAGGGCCTGCTTCGCACATCAGCGTCTTCCTCAGAGGACCCATGTCTCAAGCCCATCACACACTTCTCACATGCAGAGCCGAGAACCCCAGGAGTGGGATCTCACAGTACCGTTTAAGTCCAGAATCCAAACAGGACTTGTATTGCTTAAAATCTCTCTAATCACCAATTAAGATTTTTTTTTAAATGCATCGAGATGCTTAAAATTTAAGGTAACTAAAAAATTTTAAAGGAGAAGGAACTGTTCAAACCATCCTTCTTGGAATTTAAAACAATACAAAGCAAAAAATAACTTCCTTTTGAAAGAGCACTGTAATTCAAAAATGTTTGATATGCTCTCCATTTGGGCTGGGCTATGATATTTTCCCCAACAAGAGTGTGCACCTGCTGTTCTGGAGTCCACTTGTACCCCTTCCCCTTTGGACATGTGTACTCCATTTCCTGTGTTACGAAAATGGAAATTTTCATTTTTCCCTGCTCAGTTTAAACTCAATGCCTCACCATTCCTTCTTGCACTTTCTACCATTTCCAACGAGGTGTACTGGCAGCAGCTTCAATTTTAAGGCTTCCCTGACAAAGCTGTCCCCTCCCTTGGTATCGGAAGCAGCACATGGTGAGAGGAGCCAAGAACTGGCTACCTCAGGCACAAACTCCCCACTGGTCTCATTTTCACAACCATGGGGCTCAGCCTACCCGGTCACTACCGTGGTCTGTCACCTTGAACTACAGAAGGAGGCTGTTACAGTTGACTAAGCAACTTGTGATTCCAGCACAGGAACCCTCATGTTCTGAGACAGGCTCAGTTTAGGATAAAATACATTCTTCTCAGTAAGTGGTGACTCTTCCTTCCCTCAGCATCTCAACACAGGTGTATTAGAGTGCTATCAGGGAAGACACCTCATTGTTACAGTCAGGCGAGGAAAGCAGGTAGTAACAAGCACAGCCTTAGCCTGCTGTAATTAAATACACAGAGAGCAGCTGCTACTTCTGTGTAAAGTGTCCTTCGCAGCTGATTTTCAGAAGACAAAGCTGAGTTCTAGTCTGCAAGAACCCTGTAAGATGTACAGTAAGACTGAATAAAAGCATAATAATGGTAAACAAAGGCCTTCCATATTGATAACTATTCTCCAGAAACTGAGATTTCAGGACAGTGCAATAATTCTTTCTTTCTGTCTTCTTTGGCAGTAAACAAGGTCTGGACGGTGAGTGGAGCAGTCACTTCAGAAGGGCAAGGTACAGAGCTCGAGAGTACTTCATCTCCCTTTCCTGTTCCATACAGAATATCAGGTCCCTGAGGCAGATTCTCGTGATTCTTGGACGGAGCAACTGTTTGGTGGCTGTCAGGCTGGATGTCCCACAAGCAAGACTGTCTTTTGAGCCCTAAACAGAATAAGAGAAGCACTTTAAAAGTGAAATCTTTCATAAAGGGAAAGCTAGTCCGGTGCACAAGAGCCTAGGTAGGCCCGGACATCAGTGTACCGTGAAGACTCAGCCCTGTACTCCAGCTGCCCGGGTTCCAGCCCACCCAACTGGTGCATGATCTCAATCACTCCTCCCCAGAATCAGCAATGGCCTCTGAACTTACTTATTTCTCCACTTTCGGGCTCTCTTTCACTCCATTTTCCTGCACATTCCAGGCCAGACTTTCTACTTTAAAGATTTTATACAAAACTTTTTTAAAGTGATGGATGAGTTTCTTCACTTTGATCATGGTGATGACGTCTTGGTATATGCATACATAAAAACCTTATCAGACTGTACGCTTTAAATGTGTGTGTCTGCTGTATACCATTAGTAAACATCAAAATCAAAGACTTGCACAATTCACTGTCAATGGCTCCCCACTGTCCAGTATAGTGACATGGGAACTTGTAAAATGTTGAGAACTATATACATTACATACTTTTCACACATTATCTCTTTTTCTTTCACAGAATATTACAGCAAGTTGAGTGCTACGCTCATTTATCAAATGAGGAAAGTGAGCTTAGAAAAATGAAGCAATCTGTTCAAGGTCACATATCAAGGTTGAACTCGGAGTCGATTTCTAATTTGATCTAAATTAAGTGCTGTTAATCACCGTGTTGCATTACCACCCGTATCATCCTAGCTTCCTTTTGGCTTTATTTCTCACACGTTCTTTACAAAGCATTTTAACTCCAGCCACACTGTCCCTCTGCCAACAGAAGAAGCCATCCTAGGCCAATCTATTTATCTTTTGAGATCCATTTCAAATGGGTCTACTTGTCCCTCGGTGTCAATAACCTCACATGGTACAATAGTACTTTATCTGTTTCCATCACCATCACATGCTCACTAGATCAGAAGCTTTCTGGTGACAATGATTATTGTTTCTGTCCCTCTAGGGCTTAGTAAAGTACAAAGAAAAACACAAGGCATCAGTAAGATATTCTGAATTGAATTTACTGATTCAAAACCAAGCAACCCACGTGAGACCCAAATGTCATTCAAAAATGAATGAAATCCTACACTGCAGTATTAAAACGATTTTCTAAATATTAATGTCCGTGCATTACTATCTTGAAATAAAAATGGAAGAAATGAAAAGCAAAAAATTTATAAAGGGTAAGTCTTATAAAAGTGAAACCTTTTACTCTTTCTCTCTTTTCTACAATATTTTGCTTCAAAAACCACTTTGGTTGGACTGGCACTTTTCCTTAGTCCACTAAAAAGACTGACATGAGAAAAGATGTCTGCCTAACACAGAAAACAAATCTTCTGGTTCTGTTACTATCCCTTTATAACCACCACATTTTAATTGCTCCCTCCATATTTTTGTTTATCTTCTTTTGTTTTAATGTAGGGAGAGGGATAAAGGTTTCCAAAATGCCAGAATAAGAAACCAATAACTTAATTCCATGGGGGGGGCACTTTGTCTGATGGTCAAATAAATTCTCCTAAAGAACATTTTTCAGCTTTTGAAGGATATGGTATCACAATCATATTTCTACGTTCATTAGGCTAAACTCATTTATAAGAATCCATGGAATAAACCTTGGAAAGTCCACGTTTTAGAAAAGGAGAAACAAACAAGTTCTCTACTGCACAGATGCCTGGCGACCTATCCTGGAGCTGACAGCACAGAGCCTTCTGCAGGGCTCTTGGTAAGGATGCAACCTACATGTGTGCAAGTACCAGCCTCTGGGACTCTGGCTAAGTGCGGCAGCTGAGCGCTGGGCATGTCACTCCTCTCTGCAGGTGTTGCCACCCACAGGCGTTGCAACCAGGATGTCACCTTAACTACTGTAAGTTATCACTAGGAAAGATTTTCACAAGATTTTTTCAGAGTGGGCCCACAACTCAGCTTTGGAAAAATGAATAAAAAGTCTTAGGAAGAAAGTTTTAAAAATCTGTCACTGGTAGTGAGAAGCAATTGTGTTGTTCATGGGAGTTCTTTGTTTAAAACTATACTATACTTAACTAGGGCGTTTTCTTTAAACATAAACTAGATGTATTATGCTAAAATTGAATCTATACATGTTTAAAAATATTTCCTACAAGACTTTGCCTAAAATAATAGTTCAGTGCTTTATATCAATTTTTAAATTAAGTGGCCAGATGGACACTATGTCATAGCAAATTCATTTTTATGTAATACCTAGAAGTATTTAATCAAAAATTACGTATAGGGCTGGGGACTTAGCTCAGCAGTATGGTGGCCTGCCGCACAAGCACAAGGACCCGAGTTCAATCCCCGGTACCAAAACAAAACAAAACAAAAATTATGTACAAGAATGTTTCACACTATTCACAATAGTCATAACTGCTAACAATCCCAGTGTCCATTAACAGTGGGGTGGACTGGGAAATACGATGTAGTTCAGTGACAAAACACTTGCCTAACATATGCAAGCCCCTGGGTTCAGTCCCCACTAATGCCAGGAAAAACAAAACAAAACAAAAAGACTGGGGAATACACCAAGGAATGCTACATTGCAGTAATAGCTGGGTAACACAGATGTGTATGAGAATCATGTCAAATGAAAGGACAGAGACCGAGGGAGACATATGATTGTTCACCAGGTCCCCAAACTATAAAAGCCACAAAAGGCAAAGCTATAGAAGTCAGTAGAGTGAGTCCCTGGGGGACCTGAGGAGTGAGTACAAGTGGATAGTTTTCTAAAGTTTCTTCTTGATCTGACTATTGTCTAACATGCGTGTTCACACTACGAAGAGGGGCATGATTTGTGTTTTCTCCATCAATGTTATATTTTCATAAAAATTAAATTGCTAAAAAAAACTTACCTCCATAGGAAATTAAAAGAAGAGAAAGGGAAAGGAGGAAAAGGAAGAAAAAAAGGCACAACTGTTAAATGTAAAAAAAAAATAAGGAGTCAATCTTCTGGGTTAAGGAACAAAGGGGTCACAGTTCACGTTTGTCACGTGATAGGCCTGAAGGATGGGGGGGGTGCGTTACAGCTGCCAGCACTGGGTTGAAAAGGAGGTCATTCCAACAGGATGCAGCAGAAGGCCCGAGGCAAAGATATAAATGAAACAAACCTCTAGGGACAGTGAGGAAACCAACAGAAATGTCTTTTATAATTCACAACTTCATGAAGGTGATAGCATTCTCTTCCCCCAGATAGTGACTTAGAAAGTCAATCTCTTTTGAACCTGAATACAAATATATATAATTCCCTGTTTATGCTTTAGGAAAGACTACAATTCTGACTTGTTCATTTCGTGATGACCTGGCTAGGATAATCAGGCACCGCTCCATCATCCCCACTGAAGAGAATGGAGAGCACACTGGTGACATACAGCCATAAACACTGAATCTGCCTCTTGATGATTAGCTCTGATTTTCCCTAACTCCACCAAGTCCCTTCCCCAAGGTTGAGTGCATCTGACCTGTGGTCACAGCACTGTTAATGCCAAAGAACACCAATGTAGTTAATGGCTAAGTTTGTGAGGGGAAAAAACAGGCTCTTGTCACAATGCATTTTCTATTTCTATAATAATATTCCCATTCCACTTCCTACACAAAGAGCTTTCCTAATCTGGATTCTTTACACCTGTATGAAAAGAGGGCAGGTAAATGAAAGATGAAATAATTCACTTACCAAGTACCCAACACATGTCCTAGGAAGCCTAAGCAAACTTCACTGTTTTTTGGGTTTTTTTTTTTTTGGTTTGTTTGTTTGTTTGTTTGTTTTCGTGAGACAGAGTCTCACTATGTAGTTGAGACTGACCTGGAACTCACTATGCAGCCCAGGCTGATCTTGAACTCACAGCGATCCTCCTGCCTCAGCCTCCCAAGTGCTGGGATTACAGGTATGTACTACCATGCCTGGCCCTTTTTTTTTTCCCCCCTTTACTGTTGACATATTCCAACCTGCCAGGTCAGGCAATACTCATTTAAACTTTTGAGAAAGTCTGCTTTTATAAATAGGGGTGGGGGGAAACCTAAGTATCATAGTTCCCAATTTTGGAGCAATAACACTGTTTCAAGAATGAAATTAAGTAACTAAAAATAATCAGTCATCCAAGTTTTTATCCTTTTAACTTAAGAGAGCAAAAGTTGTGAAGTAAAGCCTTTAAGTTTGTTTTCTGTTCTACTAAGTCAGAAGCAGAAACAACAGTATTATGAACCTGAAGTTTGCCTGATTCCTGCTGAGATTCTACAACTTGGGCCTGTTTCTAAGCAGATCACTGAAGTAGCTGAGCTTCGTGCTAGCCCAATGTCCTGAACCAATTCAAAAATCACCTGGGTTCCTGGGCACCTCCTATGGATGAGGAACCGAGCTAGGCAGCACAGTGGTGAAAAGCAGTTGTCAATTCCAGCAATGCAGCAAAAACTTGAAAAATAGGAACACAGGCAGGAAATTTAAACTGGTATGGGGAAGAAAGTTCTGGAGCTAGAATCACATTCATTGCCTCCAACTGACTGAATTCACTACGATGACACAGACCAGCATTTATAAAGGGTACACCGTGTACCAGTGGTTCAAAGCAACCTTATAAGCTAACTGTTGTTCTTATCCCTAGTTGGCAGACTCAGAAACCGGGGCACAGAGAGTTCTTGCTAAGTCACTGGCTAACTTAAGAGAAATTCATGCTGTCACACTTATCTTGTGTCACACAACCTTATCTTGGTGAATTTTTAAGATTTTTGTGGAGCCCTGAATATCTAAAGGCAAAAAGTAGACCAAAGCCATTTCAGATACATGGCAGGTGGATGAAGTAGCTATCCAGGGCCACAAAGTTTTCTTTACACCCCTCCAATCAAACAATGGAAGAGCTTGGTGCTGTAAAAAGCCAGATGGACCCTTCAGTTCGTGAGTGTGATAACTGTGTTCGTGCCACATGTGTGAGATGTTCTTCCCTCAAACCTTGTTACAGGGACATTACTTGTCAGC